TTTTGTTTTCTAGCCATCAAATGTTACTCATCTCATCTCCTCGAGAAAAACTGTTGAATTTGCTATAAAACGTCCCGGTGCTAATCTCAACTTCAGAAGCTGCAATTACCATCCGATAAGGCGCGTTTCACGCTGTTTATCTAATCTTTTCTGAAAATGTTCCTGATCTTGGAAGGCTCGATATATACAGAACGATAATGCCACATACGTTCCACCTCTGCTGATGCTTTGCGCAGGAAACTTCTAATTCTTTTATTGCTGAAGACTTCATGGTTACTGTGCAGATCAGTATGGTTGTAGAATCATATCAGTTAGCACCCTTGTATTTTGATCAGATCTTCAAAGTAAATTTGCAGACTACACTCAGGCGTCTTCATAAGTTATTAATGGAAAACAGTAGTATACTTGCTTCCACAGTGCTCTTCAAAAACGTGATTACACCTCTAAAAATACGCAGAAATTTTGTTCAAAGTTGTGCAATGAAATTAGCGCGTATGAAAAAACCTGTTACACATATTTTCAGATTTTTTTGAACTTTCATGAAATGGCCTTCTTCATGATGGCGCTATATGCCGGAAATTCCTATTGTAATCCCGCAGTAGCAAAGAGACAGTGTGCACATTATTTCAGGACACCCTATACTCACGTTCTACAAGTTCTCTCTATTTCGTTCCAGAGTACATTTCCACACTTAAAAACAAAATAAAAAGATTTTTTGAGTTCCTCAGATGCAGCTGATCCGCATTATTCCAAAAATTGAAACCTTCAGAAATTTTCATTGCGAAAAACATACCAGCAGCATGCGATGTTGACTGGAAGCAACTCTAACACCTGGGACGATTTATTGTTCCAAAATGTTTGATTCAAAGCTCCGTCTAAAGTACCTTAAACCCCTAGAGATGGGGTAGAAAAACAACCGATATGGTCAAACACACCGAAAATTCCACGCCAGCATGGTGTACCAGACTGATGTCACGCTATCTATGTGTTAGTTTACACTCAACTAAACTTCTTCTTCTACTTCTCAAAAGGACAATGGCAAAAGTCTGTCACTGATTACTAGTGACAGAAATTTTTCAAAGAAGCGGCACGCTAGCCAATATCTGCAAAATTTTTTGGGATTTTAGCACTTTTTGGTGAGCCCTTTACATTGAAAATCTCGCGAAAGGGCGTGGCAGCAGGCAAGCCTTGAAGGAATTTTTTCACAAGACTAATTCAAATCTTTGGAAAACTTCAAAATTATTTTGACCCCGTACAAAAAAGTCGCTTGCACAGTCTTGTAGCTAGTTAGTGATGTCTTCCTTGCTTCGCGATAGTCTGCTAGGCACTCTAGTAAAAACATAAACATTATCCAACTATTATTCAAATTCGTATGTACATCTCTTGGTGAACAAATTCTCATGGTCCATAATAAAATTTTTTACTCTATTTTGTTGATGTACATAGATTTTAAGAAAATTTGAAGAAGAGAACATGGTTACTTTTCGTTTGAAAATAGAGGCAGTACTATTTATCCTCGTCCAAATAAACCCAATAATAAGGCGAAATATGGGGTTGGTCCGAAAGTTTTGTCGCACCATTTTTAAAAAATCGTAACTCCTTCAAATCATGATATTTTCGCATGACTAAAACGTTTTGAGAAGAACAATTCATGCACTTTCCAGGGGCACCTTGGCTGCTATCCACTAAGCTCTGAAAGCAGAGATAGAATTGGGAAAACGAAATCAAGTTCGGATTTTTTGAGCAAGCCCGTTAAAAAATCTAGAACTGTGCCATAAAATCCAAAACAGCCAGTATCCTAGACTTTTTGAACCTCTCTTTCTAGCTGAGCAAAATTTGCGCTGCTCAAGCTGTTATTTTGAAAGCTATCATTTTTTGAAGAAAACGTCAAATAATCAATTTTCTTCAAAAACTGATTTTTTGGCATTTTTTTCTTGAAAATCATAACTTTTCTAGGAGGACTCCACCAGCGCGATTTTCGCTCACATAGAAAGAGGGGATCAGAAAACCTAGGATACTGCCTGTTTTGGATTTTATGGCACTTTTGAATTTTTCAACGGCCTTGCTTAAAAATTCCGAAATCGAAGTGATTTCCTTTTTCTAATTTTATCTCTGCATTCAGAGCTTAATGAATAACAGCCATTATATCTTTATAAAGTACTTGAATAGGTCGTTTCAACATGGTTTTATCCATGCAGAAACGTCGTGTTAGGAAGGAGTTACGATTTTTTTAAAAATGGTGGAACAGAACTTTCGTACCAACCTATTATACTAGGTCGTCCAGAAAGTTCTTTCGCATAAAATTCAAATTTCATAACTTGTCGAATTCTCAACAATTCTGCTAGATCTAAAAATTTCGTATAAGAGAGGAACTTATGCTCTTTGCAACTGTACTTGACTTTTCGTCAATCTATACAAATGAAAGAGATAGAAGCTCAAAACCAAAATCACTCAAAATTTTAATTTTTCGTGTAAGGTCATAAAAAATCGGAAACTTGCAACAAAAATCGAAGCAGTCGATATTGTAGGCTCTTTCACAAGCTCTTTCCAAGAGTGCAAAGTTTGCGCCGATTGAGTGTCTCTGTGAAAAGTTATGAATTCCCTGAAAAATGCCAGAATAAATCAAATTCGCCCTTTTGTATTGCTTGCTCGAAAATTGTAACTTTTCATAAAGACGCTCAATCGGCGCAAACTTTGCACTGTTAGAAAGAGCGGTTAAAAGAACTTACAATATCGACTGCTTTGATTTTTGTTGCAAGTTTCCGATTTTTTGTGAACCTACACGAAAAATTCAAGTTTTGAGTGATTTTGGTTAGCTTCTATCTCCTTCATTTGTATACATTAACGAACCGTTTAGGGACACAAGCAAAGAGCGTGAGTTTTTCTCTTACATAAAAACTTGAACCTTGTAAATTTGTTGAGAATCCAACTAGTTATGAATTTTTGAATTTGGTGCGAAAGAACTTTCGGGACGACCTAATAATAAAGGGGAAACTTACATGAAAAAAATTTGGGAGATGACACAGAATTAAACCCTGTCAAGCCACATTTTTCCATTTTCCCATTTTTTTCATTTCTTAGCCGATTTCTAGGTAATATGATGTGCATATTTCTATGATATAAAAACTTTAACTTCAAAATGGTTCTTTCTGACATTTTTACACAAATACCAGAATGTTTCAATAACTCTCATTTTCCGGAGTCGACTTCTATGAATCGTAAAAACTCCAGCGTCAAAGCGAGCAGAAGCGAAAAGCAAAACTCATTTTTTCCTCTGCTCCGCACAGAACCTTTTTACTTTCTGGCACCTCATTCACATCTAAAAATCATGTCATCGGTTAATGAAAGTTTTACTAAGGTTTTTAAAAAACTTCAACCCGAACTAAATACACTATGCTAGTGAACATTCTAGATTCTCTCCCAGTAAGGCCCCGGACAGACTTCACGCGACTTAATCGTCACGATCTAATCGCCAAAATTTCCATTCATTTTCATTTCACATTCAAAAATGTCGGTCTGGGTATGCATCAATCTCCCATGTTGAAAGCGGGCGATCGTTTTCAATAGAAAAATGATTGCCCGGCCGGGTTGGCCGCAGCTTCATACATTACGGGTCGGGCGGCCAACCCGGCCGGGCAATCATTTTACTATTGAAGATGATCGCCCTCTTTCAAAACGGGAGATTGATGCATACCGCCTCTGGAAAAGTATCACAACCGAATTCAAGTTGATCGGCATGGAATGATGTTGTAACAGTTGTCTCGTCGCGACTCAGTCGCGACGATCAAATCGCGTGAAGTCTGCCCGGGCCTAATGGCTTAATTGAATAAATTTAACAAAAAGAAAATGAAAATTTCGAATAATCAAGCACCGAGTTTATGCAGAATTGCATTTTTTGAGCAACCGAATTGCCAACGATTTTTGTTAAAATGGACTTAAAGACATTGCCTAGGTCAAATGAGGGGTGGTCGGGTTTTGACGCAGTGGGGGAGCACAGCTTCTGGCTGATGCAACGGTTCAAGTCCGATGGGAAACGGTGGATTCTGAAGCAAGAAGATCGAGGCACCTCAAGTCATGTCATCGGTTAATAAAAGTTTTACTACGGTTTCTGTAAAACCTTGAGCCTGAATTAAAGACACTATGCTTCAGAACATTCTAGATTCTCCCCCAGTAATCGCTCAATTGAATCAATTTAAAAAAAAGAAAATGAAAATTTCGAATAATAAAGCATCGAGTTTATGCAGAATTAGATTTGTTGAATAATCGAATTGCCATCAATTCTTGTTAATGTAGACTTGAAGGCATTGTCTGGGTCACTTGATGGTGGTTGAGTTTTGACGCAGTGAGGGAGCACGGCTTCTGGCTGATGCGACGGTTCAAGTCCGATGGAAAACGGTGGCTTCTGAAGCGAGAAGATCGCTTCGGAAAAAAGGGGCGGTCCGCCAATCCCGCCCCTTGGCTAGTTTTGACGTGGTTATCTGCACTAATTCTACAACATTTGCCACGTAAAAACTGCCAAGGGGGGGAATGGGGGACCGCCCTTTTTTTCGAAGCGATTTTCTCGCTTGAGAATCCACCCTTTTCAGTCGGACGAACTGTTGCATTAGCAACGAGCCCTGCTCCCGCACTGCGTCAAAATCCCACTATCCTCAGTTGACCTGGACAATGCCTTCAATCCACTCAGAGACTTATCTACCGAATTTTCTCGGTATTTCTGGTCTTACACTGATTTTGAGTTTTTTTACGAGGACCAACTAACGCAGAAATATGCTTCCTGCTTGTTATCTGTACCTTTTATTGCGCTCCTTCCTCCTAATCTTTATGATGAGAGAAAATGGGTGTAAAATAGTCTGATGCTTTAGTGAAACGCTTTCAGAGATTTTCTTTTTTGCCTCCATCGTGCACAAAAAAGGCTTAAGCTTGAAGTTGATCTATTTTCAGACACATCTCACACTGTTGACAGTGAGCGCTAACGCTTACAAGTACTTCTGAATATATCAATGGCAGAAATTTCCCAAATCAATCTGATCATCAATGCAAGTGTTTATGTATAATTTTTGCTCTAAATTCCAAATGATTGTAATTCAGTGCATCGAGAGCTACAAGAAACAAGCGAAAGTCGTGTCGGATATTACTTCACTGCTGTCTACACGAAATGCAAAGCTAGGCATTCTTGACATCATCAAAATAGTTGTATTATTGGAAGAAGACCAAGAAATTTTGCGTGTCCTTCGCAACGTCGCTGTCATTATGGGAAAGGTTTTACTTTGCAAGCATTTCGATTCAAAAATTGAAGGAGTGGTTTGCTGATATTATTAGGTTGCTGCATAAGTTCTGTGCGATTTGAATTATTTGAGTTCAAAATGTCATAACTTCTTTCAAAGTCAACTTTTTTCCATGATCTTAGTTTCCTTGTGTTGAGCAATCCCTTGGCTATCAGAAAGATATTAAACCTTGCGAAAATCCTTATTAAGGAAAAAGCAAGAACTCAAAAACTTCAGAGCGTTTTTCTTCAAGCCTGTCTTTTTTGACATGGAAATTCCCTTATGAGAAGTGGTAGGCATCTTGTCAAATAATGAATAGATAGAGAACTGTTCTAAGATTACTTTGCACCATAAAATAACCTATAGGGTCTGCGTTGCCGAGAGATTTTTTTGACCGAACAAACCACTTTTTGACTTCGCTTCAGCGCATGTGTGTATGCCTATCTACGAATTATGAAAATTTTATAATTGACATGAGCGCCGATAAGAAATGATGGATGGTCCCTGCTAGCCCTTGCTTTACTCTAGCACCTCCAACTTTGAAGGTCGATTACTTCTATTCGCAGAAAGTTATTGCTTGTAAAACACCTATACAGAAAACTGATGTTTGACAATAAACTTTACTAGCAAGACGTTTTCTTCCTGAAACTGAACTTATGTGTATGCTAGCCTATTACACCCTTATTCCGCAACCAATTAAAAAACTTGACCTAAGGGCGCATTGTGTAGATTTCCTCACAAGAACAAATTTCTAGGGTGAGAGCGTACCTCGGCCACTTGGAGATTTTGGGCTTGAAATCTCCTTACACTAAGAAATTTACTGAAATTTAATATGTTTTAGAAAGCGCAAAAAGTACTTTCTAATGATACTAACTATACCGCACTAGAAATGAAATTCTCTTAGAACAGCTGCTTCAAACATAAGGCAAAAAATCGGACAGAACTTATGCAGCAACCTAATATGTTGGTTAATGAATAATTTATTTCGACATGAAACTTCGAAGCTTTATAATAATAAACTGTTATTTAGCTATATTTTTATAATTGGGTAGCTTCAATCCTCTGCTATCATATTGTGACGAAAAGCTATGACCTTATATAATTTGACTCCTAAAAAATCACTATTATGGAATCCTAAGCTTCGTTTTCAAGCTTTCGTAAGTGCAAAGATGAGTACCTAATTCGGTTGTTGTACACACGCAAATTTGGCTAGAAGGACCACAATGAAGACTGTGACCTGCTATTTGGGATTTTTTGTAGCCAAAGATGTGAGAATTTCTGGGTAATTGAGTGCGGAGTTTAAATTAGAGTAGTCCAGGTTTCTCAAATTTGACCGTCTATGACCATGCAAATGTTTGAAATATCAAAATTGTATGTGTGTGTACCTTTCGTGCACTTCGTACCCAATCTCAAGTCGATTTTTGGAGCACAAATTTTTGGTAATTCAACGAAGTGTGGCTTTTCCGCTTTCCAGCACCATTCGTTAGTTGAAAAATAATTTTTGAGTAAATAAAGTTGGCCGTCCAATCTCCTTGATTTACTCTTTCAATGGTGCTATGCCTTTATATATAAACTCATCAATGACATAATTACAAGCCGTCAAAAAAGACCCACATTATTATTCAAAACCTAATAATTCTTCACTTTAAGGATCAGATTTGTCTTTTGTGCGAGTTAGTTCGTGATTTACCTTCTGCTAACGCACATTACAGCCACCTCCACAATACCACAGTTCACAAACGGGCAAAAACGACAAGAGAAAATGGTTTGGATTTATCCAATGCATAGCGACAGGGATAGCGTATTATAAATCTGCGGACAAATGTATATCTCTTAACTATGTGTACAACAACCTTGCACTAGCAGATATTCGAAGCGAGAACGAATTTTTCGACTGCTTTATGGTCATGATTTTGGTTCAGGTTAGTGACATAAAATGTTATGTATTTTTAGACTTCAGTTTAGGGATACTCTGGGAAAGATTGGCCACAGCTTTCCTATGGGAAAAAAACTTCAAGAACCAAACCGTAAAGTAGATTTGGAGACAATTTACGGTAATGCTTCTGCACCTCTTCATCTTTGCACTGTTTGTCGCTGTTGCAGATTTTATGCGCAAAACTCTCCACGAAAACGGAGCAGAACTTAAAGACGACTTCAAATACAACCAAATGGAGAAGATGAGGAAGTCTATGTTAGCACTGTCATTTTCTTCCTTGCTTAAGACTAGTGAATCAGTAATCTGAAGGTGCTAGATTCGCAGGAGTGTTCGCTGCGGAAGCCGCACGATCTTCCAAAATTTCACCTTTTTTGAATAAGCACAACGATTCTTTATGCAATAACTAGCTGGCTTACCCAGCTCCGCCCGGCCCTGTCAAAACAATAGATAAAGGTCCAATTCCTATCCCTGTACAACCTTTCCCTGTGCCCACTTCTACAAGCCAACTCTATTCCCGCTGTATTAGTAATCAGCATGCTCAATTTTCCCCCTCAACTCCCAGCCATGCAGCTCAAACTTTGCAAAAAATCGATAAAATCGATAAAAGTAATGGATATTGAAGACTAATATTGCATTCGTAATCATCATGCTCGATTACTCCCCTATGCCAACTCCCAGCCCCGTAGCTCAAACTTTGCAAAAAATCGATAAAATCGATATCGATCGATAACGAAAGGTAGCCTACAACACCCGCCCCGCCCCAAAGTGTATGTGTGCCAAGTTTGTCCGGATCTGTTTAGAAATGGAATTTTCTATTCGGAACAGCGTAAAGACAAACACATGTATACAGTCTGCCCCAATCGGGATCAGGCCGAACCGTCGGCTGAATTTGCGCGCTCGCAGCGCTAGGGGATTGCGCTGCATACGCGCGCTGTCGCAGAGAGTGAAGAGATCGAGGAGAGAGCAGACTAGCTAGCCGCAGATGTGGCGCGAAAACCTCGCGGCGCGGACTCCCGCCATGCCGATTTTGGCCTGGTTAGGATTGGGGCAGACTGTAGTCGTCCTCACCCCACTAGTCGTTCGGTGGACGAATTCAAATTTGAATTGGAGCAGGCCTGTCGCGGCGAGCATGGCATCTGACCCCCCCTGTATGATTTTGCGCGTTTCTTTACCGGTTTTATTGGTCGTTACTTGCTAGTCTCTATACTATAAGCACGTTTGTAGAAAGTGACAGTTTTGTTGTTGTCGGAAGTTGTTTGGTGTTGCTAAGCTCGTTTCTTCAACTCTGATTGCAGTTAAGCCTGGGGAAACGATACAGATGGTGACCTTATGCTGTAAACTCTTTCTTAGTAAGTCACATATGCAGAAGTGTTGCTCAAGTGGATTATATGCTCCAAATTTGCCATCTGCATTGTTTCCAAAAGCTCACTCAAACAAAACACGAGCATAGCGGTAGGAGACAAACAGCAATTACAAGAACTCAATATAGTCCAAAAGCTTTGTAACAATACGAAAACTTTCAAACATTGGCGAAGAGAAACACAAAGTGAATGCGTGAATTTGAACAGAAAGCTAAGATGCCGTGCTCTGCCGCGACTTGCCTGCTCCAGTTCGAATTCGAATTCGTCCACCGACCGACTAGTGGGGTGAGGACGACTATACATACAGACATACAGTGGCCTCCAAAAAGTTGTGGACAAGCCTCCCTCCTTTTTCATCGCTCTTTTTCAGAGGGAAAGGGTAATAAAATGTAATATATGCATGGGGTGATAGATTTCTTCAAGATCTACAATCTACACTTTGCGCTTTTTGAGAACCATGTATTTTAAAAATTTTAAAAATCTTTTTCTAAAAAAAGTCCGAAAATGGCCGCGTCACAATGTTGCGGACAATAATTCTTCGAACGCAAATCTCTTTTGAGTCCTATTTAAAACGGAAACACAAGTAATCCGAACGGGTAAGCATATTACTGTACGTTATGGTTGTTTCCCAAAAAAACACAGGCTTGAGTCTTATTTTGCTAAAAAATAACTTCTAATTTCCTATTTCAAGCCAAATTATTTCACACGGAAACCTATTCAAGACATCACAACAAAGTTGTTTGAAAATGGATGCTCTTTGCCATACACTATGCAACGGACGTGTGCTGATGATAACCTTTGCTGGAAATGGTTCTTGGTAGTGCTTGCACATGACCCCACCTGCACCTCACCATTAACTTGTACCGCTTAGCAGTCTTGTAGCTCGGCCTACGCTCCCTTTGTTACCACTTTCATCCCGAGCACTCAGGACTAACATGTTCCTTGTAATGATTCAGTTTCGAGCTTCTAAGGCTGTTTTGGTGTCGATGAGAGCCTTCACTCCAATCACCACTGAGGCCGCGCTTTTTCACCTCATCCGTAAAATCTCCGTTGTTTCTCTTGCTTAACTCTTTTGCATACCATCTAAAGTCTCGTTCTTTTAAGTGAGCCCACAGACAGGCTCGTAGGATTACTGCCGGCCGAGCTACAAGCCTGCAAAGCAGCCTCAGTGGTGAAAAGCGGAGCAAGTCAGTGGAGAGGTGCAGGTGAGGTCATGTGCACGCAATGCCAAGAGCCATTTTCAGCAAAGGTTATCATCAGCACACGTCCGATGCATAGAGAATGGCCAAGAGCATCCATTCTGTCCAAAAGGCTTTGTTGGGATTTTTTGAATAGGTTTCCATGTGAAGAACTTTGGCTTGAAAAGGGAATTATTAGGTTGGCACGAAAGTTTTTGCGTAATTCAAACAAAATTCAATAACTTTTCAAAGACTAAATCTAAATTCACAATCTTGTATGCTAAAAATATTAGAAGCCCTACGCTTCATGATGGAACTTAAGCACAACATTACATGAGCTAGCCCTCGAGAACGAAGCTCTCAAATATGGGGCTCCAAATTTTGCGATTTTGAGTTTGGTGGCAGAGAATCGCAGAGCGCCGCTAGCTAGCCGAAAAAAATCTTTAAAAATTACTTACACTGCAAAAGTTTATGCGTTATTTTAGCAGGCTTTGATCTCGCATGGAAATGCTAAAACAAAAAAGTTGTGAAATTTCTCATTTCACAGGGCAAATCCCCTTATTGCTCTAATTTCTCCACAGAAACACAGTTTGCAACCAGAATTTAGACGTAGTGCCTATTTAGAGCCTTGCGACGTTTTCTCGATTGTAAAAAAGTGTTTTCGTCGGAAAACTGCGGACGTAAGGGGATTTTTCCCGCAACATGACATATTTCACGAATTTTTTGTTTTTGCTTCACAATGCAAGATCAAGGCCTTCCAATGTAACATATGGACTTTTGTTGTGTAAATAAATTCTACAGATTTTTTTCGGCCAACTAGCGGCAATCTGCGATTTTCTGGCACCAAACTCAAAATCGCAAAATTTTAAGCCCCATATTCGAGAGCTTCGTTCTTGATGTCCAGCTCACAGATTCTTATGCCCAAGTAACCGTCATGAAGCGTAAGGCTTCTAATATTTTTAGCATACAAGATTGTGAATTTAGGTTTAGTCTTTGAAAAGTTATTGAGTTTTGTTTGAATTACGCAAGAACTTTCGTGCCAACCTAATAGAAGTCATTTTTTTGAAGCAAAGTAAAACTCAAGCTTGTGTTTTTTTTGGAAAGCAACCATGGCCAGTGTTTAGTTCTTGACGAGCTCTGTATAGTAGTACGCTTACCGGTTCGGAGTACTTGTGTTTCCGCCTTAAAGTAGGACCAAAAGAGAATTTTTGCGTTCGAAGAATTATTGTTCGCAACATTGTGACGCGGCCATTTTCGGACTTCTTTTATAAAAAGATTTACAAATTTTTTAGAATAAATGCTTTTAAAAAGCGCAAAGTGTGATCTGTAGATTTTGAAGAGCTCTATCACTCATGTACATTTTTGTGTTTTATTTTTTTTTGTATTTTGCATTTATGCATTTCATGTACTAATACATTTTTTCATCCTTGTTTTCCCTCTAAAAAGAACGATGAAAGAGGAAGAGGGGTTTGTCCGCAACTTCTTGGCGGTCACTGTACATACAGACATACAGACAAACAGACATTCAACTTTATACATATATATTTTGTTTGATTGCCAAACTATAAAAGCAAATTTTGAATTGCCATTCTTAGATAAGGTATTTTCGCAAATCGCTTTTTTCTAAAGTAAATAATGCTAGATGCACTATTTCCACTCCTTGATACTAACTTCACAATATGTTTTCATATCGAATTGATTTTGTAATAATATGGCAATATGAAACCGAAAGCATAGATCCAGCTTCAGTGAAAGCTTTCGGAATCTATGCAGCCTGTTTTTTCTTTTTTTTCTCGTGTAAGTCGAAGTGACCTTTTGGATAGGATGTAGATCATATAGGAATAAAACGCTAATTTCCAAACCCCCTTTCCTTGTCTGCGGAACGCTTATAGACGAGGAGTTATGAACTCTTATCAGAGCAAAAAACGACATGTGCAAATAGGAGAAAAATTGTCGTAATATATTTTCTAGCACTAATTTAGCAGGATGATTATCAGAGCAACTTATTCAATGAATGCTAGATAAAAAATACACTAAATGTTTTGCTTTATTCAAGGGCTAGGAAGATTTTAGCAACTCATTTTACCTAAATTCACATCTAATTTTTTGCTTCAATAAACGCTCATAACTCCTCATTCACAAATGTTCCGCAAAGAAAAACAGATATGGAATCAGCGTCTTATGCTCTTTGATATGGTATACATCCCATCTAAAAAGCCCGCCTCGATTAAGCAAGGCTCCTTTGTTAGTCTAAAATTTGACATATTCAAAAAACGTTATGGCCAACGCGACGATGCAGCAGACTTTATTTGGCTTATTTCATGAAGGGAAGACCATCTGACTTAATTTATGAAGGGAAGACCGTACTCGCTTAATTACTCGTTCACTCGGTTTTTAAAAAGATTTCAATAGTTACTCAGAAACAAGTCTAAGCAGGTAGCTGTTCTTTTGATGTTATGGTGCTTTGTCTCTGTTTTTGTGGGATCTACCACCTCAAGCAAGGCTCAGGTTTTTTATATTTACCGTTGTACAAAATTTTCATGTTCTGAGAGAACT